AACACCACATTGCTGTGGTAAGTTTAGAAACCATGGCCCAGACTGGCAGCCTGGAGCTTGGAGAGAGGCCGTATCAATCACTTTTCTCATTGCTATGACAAAACACCCAACAGAAGCAACTTAGGAAGGAAGGGTTAATTTTGGCTCGCCATTCCATGGGGTAGTCCAACACGACAGGAATGTCATAGTCAGGCGTTTGAAATGGCTGGTCACACTGCATCCACAATCAGGAAGCAAAGAGAGATGACTGCCGCTCAGTGTGTCGCCTCTAGTTTAGTCTGTCCTTCAGGGTGGGGTCTTCCCCCTCAGTTAACTCGGTCTAGAAACACTGTCATAGAGAAGTCCAGAGGTTTGTCTCCTAGGTGACTCTAGATCCTGACCAGTTGACAATATTCTACCACAGAGGCCTTTAGGTGGAAGAAGGTGCTGGAAAGTCACAGAAGAGTGAAGAAGTAAACATTCAGAACCCAGTGATGGCTGCACTTAAAGTGCCTCTGTCTCCCTTCCTCCCCATCTCTATCCCCCACTCCCAGAGCTCACTAACTAGACTAGGCTGGCCTTGAACTTGAAACAATCCTCCTGACTATCACAGCCTGCTGACCCTTGCTTTTCTATTGACGGAGATTTGTTTAATCAGGTTATTCCTGCCCCCCCCCATGCCTCTGCCAGGTACAAAGAGTGAGAGGGGAGAAACAGAAGGCCAATGAGATGGCTCAGTGGGTAAAGGTGCTTCCTGTCAAGCCTGATGATCTGAGTTCAAGTCCAAGAACCCACATGGTGGAAGGAGAAAACCAACCCCCACAATTTGTCCTCTGACCTCTACATGTGCATGGTGTACGTGTACACACACACACACACACACACACACACACACACACAATAAAATAATAATAATAATAACAATAATAATAGAGACAGGGACCCTGAGGACAGACACACACATAAACTGCTGAGGAACAGGAAGATACAGAGATAAAGGTGCCTTTCAGTTGGTGCCCTCAGTGAGCATCCAGGAAGAATTTTAAATTCAGCACCAGACTGAGAGAAGCCAGACACCACCCCCTCCTTCCCTGGCTGTGTGAGTCTGGCTGGTGCACAGCTGATTTCTAGATTCAACCATTTTCAGATGTGAGTGCTTTGGAAATGTCAATACTATTTTGAATCTCTGCTGCTGTTTGGTCCCTGTCACACCTCCTCCCAACAGCTGAGAGTTGACTGGAAATGAATCCCGTGCTAAAGCCACAATTACAGGAAGCACTACAGGTTGGAAATTTGCATACCTTTGACCTGACTTTTCTACTACTAGGAATTTGTCCTAAGATGACAGCCTTGGATGGGGCAAAGAATTCAGCATGGATTGCTCCTTGTGGCATAATGTAGGGAAACAAAGAAACAGGAAACAAAGTAATTACCTAGCCCCCATTGAGGACCTGCTCAATATAACAATGGCCCAGGGGCTGGAGAGATGGCTCAGCTGTTAAGGGCACTGGCTGCTCCTGCAGAGAACCCAGGTTCAGCACACAGCACCTACAAGGAGGCCAACTCCAGTTCTAGGGGATTCCATGCCCTCTTTTGGTCTCAATGGGCACTGCACACATGTTGTGCACATATATACATGCAGGCAAAACACTCATACACATAGACAAAAATACATAAATTAAATAAAATGATCCAAACTTATAATAGCTTTGCAGGCTTCCACCATGCCCTTTTTTTTTTTTTTTTTTTTTTTGAGACAGGGTATACCTGTAGTCCCAGTTGTCCTGGATCTCACTCACTATGTAGACCAGGCTGGCCTTAATATCACAGCAATCTACCTGCCTTTGTCCCCTAAGTGCTAGGATTAAAGGTCTGCACCACTCCTGGATGTACCTTTGCATATGAGAGGACGACTTGCAGGAGTCAGTTCTCTCCTTCCACTTTGTGGGTTCTGGGGATGGAACTGAGGTTGTAAGGGCTTGGTTATGGGTGCCTTAAGGCACTGAGCCATCTCTCCAGTCCTTAAAGGAGGGGCTGCAGAGGTGGCTCAGCAGTTAAGAGCACTTACTGACCTTCCAGAGGACCTGAGTTCAATTCCCAGCACCTATGTCAGACAGCTCAAAATTGTCTGTGACTCCAGCTCTAGAAGATCCAACACCCTCTTCTGGCCTCCTCAAACATCCACATACTTGTATCAAATACACAGACACACACAGACATGGACACAGACATAGACACACACACACACACACACACACACACACACACACACCACAGACACAAAAACCCAAAAATAAATAATAAATGAGTATTATCAGCAAAGACACACTGTCTGTATTAGGTTTTAAAAAGTAAGTTATGGGGCTTGAGAGATGGCTCAGCGGTTACGAGCACTGACTGCTCTTGCAGAGGACCGGGGCTCGATTCCCAGCACCCACATGGTGGCTACGAACCGTCTTTTACTCCAGTTCCAGGGGAATCTGAAGCCCTCTTCTGACCTCCACAGCGGGATTGCATGACACAGGTGCACTCATTTACACGCAGGCAATACACTCATACACATAAAATAAAAAATAAACAAAATATTTTTAAAAAGTAAGTTACAAAAAAAAACATAGTCCAAAAAAACAGACCAAATGTTATTTTCTTTTTTTTTTTTTTTTTTTTGAGACAGGGTCTTCCTGTAGCCCCAGATGGCGTGGAATGCACTGTATAGACCAGGCTGGCCTTGTACTCACAGAGCTCTACCTGCCTCTGCCTCTGAGTGCTGGGATCAAAGGCATGTGCCACCATGCCTGGCACCCAAATGTTAATATCTGGATGGAGGGATTCTAAGATTTTTTTTTCTTTTTGATGCTCTGCTTTGCATTTTAATTTAGTTCAGTTTTGTTTGGAGATTTTTGAGACAGGGTCTTTGTAGTCCTAGATGGTCCCAAACTCCTGATTCTCCTGACTCTACTTCCCAAGTGCTGGGATGACAGGACCTCCACACCTGTTCTTATCTGATTTTTATTGGTTTTTATCCCCCACAATAAGTAGGTGTGCTTTGTCTGACACTAGCACATCTTTCCATCTTCCCCACATGCAGTTCAGACTGGTTGGACCAGCTAAAGCAGCACCGTGGTCCCAGGTGACAACAGGGAAGGTCATTGACCTCTGTCAGGATGGCGGCTACTCATTAAAAATTCAACACACAGCCCGTCCAGTGGTGGCACATACCTGTCATCCAGCACTGGTAAGGTAGAGCTAAGAGGATCAGGACTTCAAAGCCATCCTTGGCTACACAGGTCAGCCTGGGCTACATGAGACCCTGCCTCATAAAGCAGTTCAGGGTGCTGGAGAGCTGCCTCAGTGGTTAAGAGCACTGGCTGTTCTTGCAGAGGATCCCGGTTCAGTTGCAATTCCAGTTTCTGGGGATCTGACACCATCTTCTGACCTTCAAGGGCACCAGGCACACACACGGTGCACTTACATACATGTAGGCAAAACCTTCACACATATAAAATAAAAATGAATAAATCTTTAAAAAAAAAAAAGGTGGTTCTCATTCCATTTTTTCTGGGTGAGACTTCAGTTCAGTGATGCCACACTGTGGTATCCACTTGCTGAGGGTGCCTCACAACCTGCCAGCTACCCTTGCCGGAGGGACAACACTGCACATGTCCATACTTATAAAGCTGACATAGCTAAAACCGCAGAGCCTTGTGCCCCGGGGGCACCTGCTCACACACGCTCACAGCTGACATACTCTGTTGCTTTGGGTCCCCACTAATCAGATGCAGAGGCAATCTGAGTGTGAGATGGTCGTCACCATGGCAACCCAGGCTCACTCAGGGATTGGTCCAACACCCAGGAAAATTTCAAAGGTTGGTTGGAGTCATTGCTTGCCTGTGTGACTTCTGGTGACACACTTTTCTCTGTCTCCATTTCTACATCTACACACTGGTACCCCGGCATCCTGTCTTGCCTGTCTCCAGAACTATACCCGTGTGGCGCCATCATCTATGAACTGTAAAACATGGCAGGCGTAAATTATCCTTAGTTTTGGTTTGATTCCTAATTGCTGTGTGACTTCGGGTAAACCAAAGTCTCTGACCCTCTTTTTATGAACAGAAATTAGGCTCGGTGGGATTACTTCCTTGATTGATTTCAAGGCACTTGTCAGAACAAAGACTCTCAAAACTGGAAACGCAACCCATGGATCCTTCCCATAAGCCCTCTGACAGATGTTACCCAATCCCAATGCCGGCTTGGCTACCTCCCAAGCCAGACAGCTCAAGACTACATGCCTCTATTACTGTTTGACTTAACTTATTTTATTTTGTTTTGTTTTGTTTTTTGGTCTTTTTGAGATAGGGTCTCCTTGTAGCCCCAGCTGACCTGGAACTCACTATATAGACCAGGCTGGCCTCAGTCTCACAGAGATCTACCTGCCTCTGTTTCCCTTGTGCTGGGATTAAAGGCACACGCCACCACACCTGGTTATTTCATTTTTATTTTATGTGTATGAGTGTTCTGACTGAGTGTATGTATGTGCAACACATACATGCAGTTCCGAGGAGGCCAGAAGAGGGTGTTGGATCCCCTGGAGCTAGAGTTACAGGCTATTGTGAGCCTCCATAGAGTCCTGAGAACTGAACTCATATCTTTTGCAAGAGCTGCAAGTGTTCTTAACTGCTGAGCCATCTCTCCAGCCCCATGTTTGACACTAACATTAAGTAAAAATTTCCATTTGGGACATTTTACACTCAAATATTTGTTTAAGGGTGCTGGAGAGATAACTCAGTGGCTAGAAGCCCTGGCTGCTGTTGCAGAGGACCTGGCGTTGGGCGCCTAGCCATAGGCTTCTAGGAGCTGGGGACTTCCTCCTTCATTGCCTGACTTGTCCCTCTCACAATAGCAGACCCTGGATCCCAGGCTTCTGCATTGTGAGCTTCAGGATAATATGGTGAAGTCCCCAAGGCCCCTGCTGACCTCGAACCCCTGGCTGATGCTGCCTCTCCCCTCTGCTCCCTCTACAGAGGAGTACCTTAGAGTCCTGAACAAGGGATTGGCAGAGGTAAAGAAATCCTTTCTGGGACCGCTATCCCCATCCTGCAAGATGGTACAGATGATGCGCCAGTTTCTGTACCAAGCACTGCCTGAAGACTCCTACAAGTTCGCCACCGGGAAGCTGCACGTGAGCCTCACGCGACTCACAGATGGAGAGAACGTGGTGGTCTCAGAGTACACATCTAAGGAGGAGCTGATTGAGGCAAGGCCCAGGCTGAGCCCAGCCTGTGTGAACCTAGAGAGTCCAGCCTGGCTCTCTACCCACCTCCTCCCTTCCCTCCCTTTCCTGCTTCTCTGGTCCTCCCCTTCCTTCATGTGAGCATCTCTGTCAGGAGCAGAGACAGATAAGATGGCTCAGGGAAGCAAGTCCAAGACCAGCCAGACCTGGCCACCAACTTGGCAAGTTCTATACCAGGTCCCCCAGGTTCTACTTCCACTTCCACCCTGCAGGACCTCTGGGCTAAATCTAGAGCTCACCAGAGGCCCAGAGATGGCCCACAGAGTCCCATGGCTCTTGCAGGACCTCCCGGCCTACGTCCCAGTGCATCTCCCAATTTTAGAAAAGCCAAAGGAGAGTACCCCAGGCCCCCCTGCCCTCTGTCTGTCTCTCCCAGTGAGGCTTGATAGAAGACTGAATTATCAGGCTGGGGCTAGTGACATAGTACTTGCCTAGCATGCAGGAAGCCCTGGGTTCAATCCCCAACACCGTATAAACCAAGAGAATTAGAAGTCCTCAGTCATCCTTGGCTACATAGTGAGTTTGAGGCTATCCTAGGCTACATGAGACCCTGTCTCAAATAAAGAAAAGAGGGGACTGGAGAGAGACGGCTCAGCGGTTAAGAGCACTGGCTGCTCTTGCAGAGGACCTGGGTTTAATTCCCAGAACCCACATGGTGGCTAACAACCACCCATAACTCCAGTTCCAGGGGATCTGAAGCCCTCTTCTGACCTCCATGGGCATTGCACAACACGGGTGCACTCACATACATGCAGGCAATACACTCATACACTAAAATAAAAACAAGAGAGAAAGAAAGGGAGGGAGAGAAGGAGCAGAAAGAGGGGGTGGCAAGATGGCGTAGCAGTTCAGAGCGTGCACTGCTCTTGCAGAGGACCTGAGTTCAGCTCATGTTAGGCAGCTCACAACCAACCACCTGTAATTCTAGCTCCAGAGTATCTAACGCCCTCTTCTGGCCTCTGAGGGCACTTGCATAGTTGTGCACATATAGACACATACATACACATAATTAATAGTTGAAATTTAAAAATATCTAGCTCCAGAGTATCTAACGCCCTCTTCTGGCCTCTGAGGGCACTTGCATATTTGTGCACATATAGACACATACATACACATAATTAATAGTTGAAATTTTAAAAATACCGATGATTAGTGTTGATTTTCCATTTGAATCTAGAATCACCTGTGAGATGGGCCTCCGGGCATGCCAGTGGGGGAGTTCCTTGAGTGTTAACTGAGGTGGACGGGCCATTCCCTGGCTTGCTTCCAGACAGAATGAATGGAGAAAGGGAGCTGACCAGCAGCATGCATTTACCCACTGCCTACTGCTTCTTTGTGACAGATGCAATGTTATCAGCTGCTTTGAGCTCCTGTACTGTGACTTCCCCTGTAATGATGGACTTGTGACCTTGAACTGAAATAAATCATTTTGCCCCTAGGTTGCTTTTGTAAAGTTTTTCTTTTTGCTTTTCTTTTTTTTTTTTCTCTTTTTGAGACAGGGTCTCCCTGTAGCCCCAGCTAGCCTGGAACTCAGTTTGTAGACCAGGCTGGCCTCGAACTCAGAGATCCGCCTGTTTCTGTCACCTGAGTGCTGGGATTACAGGTGTGTGCCACCATTAATTAATTAATTTATTTATTTATTTATTTTTGTTGCTGTTGGTGTTTTTTGGGGTGGGGGGACAGGGTCTCCCTGCAGCCCCAGCTGTCCTGTAATTCACTATGTAGACCAGAACTGCCTTGATCTCACAGAGATCTGCCTGCCTCCGCCTCCCGAGTGCTGGGATCAAATGCATGCACCATCACACCACCCTCTGTCTTTAAACCTAAGACATCAGGTTCTGATTGACATGGTAGGTTACCAAGGACCCAACTAGTTAGGGCCAGGCTAGGAATTGAACTTGGGGCTTTGTTTCCCAGGCCATCATCCTCACTTTGAGTTTAAGGAAATGGGAACCAGTTGAGGGTCAGTGGCACCTGTGAGTCCTCACTGCCCACCTGAGCACCTGTGACATTTCAGCCCCCTCTCTTCCCAGGCCTTGTATTGCAGCTGTTTTGTCCCTGTCTACTGTGGTTTCATCCCCCCAACATACCGGGGTGAGGTAAGTGAGGAGCTTGAGGGTACGAACTCGGACCTTGAAGTGGGGAGTGTTTTCTAGTCAGAATTCCCAATACAAGGGGGCTGAAGAGGCAGCGGGGCAGTTAGTTAAAAACACTGGCTGCTTTTGCAGAGGACCCAGGTTTGATTCCCAGCACCCACATGGTGGCTGACACCCATTTGTAATTCCATTTCCAGGGGATCTGATGCCCTCTTCTGACCTCCATGGGTATTGCATGCACATGGTGCATTTAGATTCATAAGGACAAAACACTCATTCTGAGTATTAAGGCTGTGACCCCAGGCCTAGAGATTAGGGTTCAGATCAGCAGGCCTTTCTTAGACACTTCTGGGAGGTAGAGCCTTGATATAGGTCATCTCATATTCAGTTCATAGATGAGGAACCCACCAGACAGGAAAGGCCTGGAGGTGAGTACACTGGAAAGTAGTGGGAATAGGCTTGGTCTCCTGTGTCATCCAGAAGGCAGACCCCACACAGAGGCCAGTGCCACCAGGGTGCTGAGGGAGGAAAGTCAGGGGCCAGACCATTGGTCTGGGAATCTGGAGGCCACTGTGAGCACAGGAAGTAACCTTGGGCCACACTGCCCACTATTTACTCTGGGAACCTCAGTCTCCAAACTGGTCCCAGAGGGTCTTGTGGCCCCTGCTGCCTGCTGACCCGATTCCTCCATGTCCTCTCTAGCTGGGAGTTCTAGACCCCACTGTGTGTGTCTCTCTCTGCCCCCTGCAGAGGTACATCGATGGTGGCTTCACAAGCATGCAGCCCTGTGCCTTCTGGACGGACTCCATCACCATCTCCACCTTCAGCGGACAGCAGGACATCTGTCCCCGAGACTGCCCCGCCATCTTCCATGACTTCCGAATGTTCAACTTCTCCTTCCAGTTCTCCCTGGAGAACATCACCCGCATGACACACGCGCTGTTCCCCCCGGATCTTGTGGTGAGAGTCAGGCAAGGGCAGGTGGGATCAGGAGCCAGCGGGGACCCTCCGATCCATGTCCCTCCCTGTGGAGTCCCTCACACTTCCTCAGACCTGCATTGTGAGCTTGTGTTAACCAGTTGTGTGGCAGTGACCAAGTCTCTAAGCCCCAGTTTCCTCCCTTAGCACAGGATGGTGTCAAAGCCCCTGGTGGAATGGTACCTACCAACTGCTTCCTCTAATAGGGCCAAAGCGTCAGCCAAATGCAGGCTGTGTGAACAGCTCAGAGCTAAGAAATTTGCCATTTTTATTTTATTTTGGTCTTTTTGAGACAAGGTCTCTCTGTAGCCCCAGCTGGCCTGAAACATGCTATGTAGACCAGGCTGGCCCCAAACTCACAGAGATTCACCTGCCTCTGCCTCCTGAGTGCTGGGATTAAAGGTGTGTGCCGCCATGACTGGCTTGAAGTTTGCCATTTTAAAAATATTTTATTTATTATTTTTATTTTATGTGTATGAGTGTATTGCCTGCATATATGTAAGTGCACCCGAGTCGTGCGGTGCCCTAGGAGGTCAGAAGAAGGTGTCGGATCCTCTGGAATGGAATTAAAGATGAATTTTAGTGGCCATGTAGGTGCTAGGATTCAAACCTGGGTTTTCTGCAAGAACAGCCAGAATTCTTAACTGCTGAGCCATCTTTCCAGTCCCAAGTTTGCCATTTTAAAAAGGTTACTAAAAAGAAAGAAGATCCAGGACTGGGGATGTAGCTCAGTTAGCAGAGTGCTTGCCTAAAAGGTGGGAAACCCTGGGTTGGATTCTCACTACCGTGTGAACCAGAAGGGGTGGTACATGCCTGTAATCCCAGCACTCAGGAGACAGAGGCAGGAGAAACAGGAGTTCAAGGTCATCCTTGGCTATATGCATAATTTGAGGGCAGCCTGAGCTTCATGAGACCTTGTCTATAAACTAATTAATTAATTAAAGAACAAACAAGAAAATAGGATACTGGGCAGGGTGGGAGGCAGGATGACTTGGTGGGTACAGGGGCTTGCTGCCAAGCCTGGGGATCTAAGTTCAGTCCCCAGGACCCACATGGTAGATGAAGAGAACCAGCTCCCAGAAGTTGTCCTTTGACCTTCATATGAGGCTCACATATGCATGCTAAATAAATAAATGCAATAAAAATAGCAATGATAAAGAAAATCCTGCAACAAAGTCTGTGGCCAGCAAAGCCCCAAATATTTCCTATCCAGCCCTCTCAGAGAGGGCCTCATGGGGAACCTCTCCCTTCCAGAATCCTTTGCAAAAATACCACTACTGTTCTCATTTAACAGGTGGAAAAAATGAGGGTGTGAATGGTTATAACCACACAACCAATGAGGTGCAGTACTAAAATTTGAACCCAGACCCTAAAGTCTATCCTTCCTATGACCCAAATGTGTGGTCTCTGGAACATCCCGCCTTTTCTGTGGCAGAGGCTGCTGGTGCCCTGGGAACAGGTGACACACACTGATGTCCTCCGGGGGTCATGTCAGCAATCACTCATCAGCTCTCCTGGGCAGATAGTGAGGGTGGGGTGCAGTCCAGGTACATGTGTGTGTATGAGTGCTTTGCTTGCATGTATGTAAGTGCACCATGTGCATGCAATGCCCATGGAGGCCAGAAGAGGGCACTAGATTCCCTGGAGCTGTGGTTAAGGATGATTGTTAGCCACTGTGTGGGTGCTGGAAACTGAAACCACTGCTCTCAACCACTGAGTCATTCTTTCCTGCCCCAACCCATGTGCTTTCTGAAAATCCCAGAGCAAAGTTCTGCAGTGGGAAGTTGTGTCTGTGGGTGGGAAAGGGACAGTGTCTCTCAGGTCACTGCACCCTCCTTCATTTCCCATGTCCTCACCCAGATCCTGCAGGATTACTACTACCGGGGCTATGATGATGCTGTTTCATACCTGCGGAGGCTAAGTAAGTACCTGGGAGCGGGAGGGAAGGTTGGAAAGTGGAGCAGGGATGGGAATGGAAGTTTGAGCAGAGGGCAGTCTCCTACAGCTATGGCCAGGAGAGCTGGACATGAGGGCGAGCAGCCTGACAGGCCACTGTGGCTATGGATTAACTCATAGGACAGTGGCTAGGCCATTTCAAGACACATGCTTATGGATTTAAAACAAAGCCAGGTTTGGAGATATGGCTTACTTAGTAGAGTGCTTGCCTCTAATCCCAGTACTCAGGAAGAGAAGGCAAGAGGATCAGAAGTTCAAGGCTAGCCTGGGCTACTTGAGACAAGGTCTCCAGTAGATGTGACTAGTTACGTTTGAGTGACATACCAATCAACAAATCAAAGACAGGTCCTTGGCTTGTGCTGGTCTGGAAAGGTGGCCCCACCTCTGTGTCTCCTCTGGACTTTTATCAAGTAGACTGAATGTTCTAACTCCATGAAGGCCATGGTTTTCGGAAAAGAAGTGAAAAGACCTTCCGTGTTTAAGGTAAATGCCTTAGTACATGGTTTTAGATCCAGGAATTTTAGACAAAGGGCGCTTGCCTAATCCTGGCTCAGATTTTCTCCTGCAGCGCGCACTTCCTCCGCCAGGTGGCGTGCACATATGCATGCACACATGGGAGGCTCTCTCCCTCCTCCCCACAAGGCCTCTGGAATTTTTGTCCTGGTACAGGTGTGGGAGTTGGAGCTACTGAGACGTCCTGAGAAATTCCTGTCCAACCACGCTCTGCTCCCCACCTGCCATCTGGGGGGAAGTCGTTGAACCCTGAAAGGTGTCAGCCTTCAATTGCATCCTCACACCCTCGCATCCTTTTTCTCCTCCCTCCCAAGGGCAACATCCTGGAGAGCTGGCTGTGCTGGAGGGAGCTGGAGGATGCCAGTCTTCACCGAGGTGCCTGCAGCCAGCTCACCCCCTCCCACGCCCTCCCTCCATTTTTTCCACAATTTGATAAAGTCCTACACATACCATCCCAAAGTTTTCCGAAGGGGTGGGGGATGTGGTTCAGTTGGGAGTCTGCCTAGCATCTGTGAGATTTGATCACCAACACTGGGGAGGTGGAGGCAGGAGGATCATAAACTCGATGTCATCCTTGGCTACATAGTGAACTTGAGGCCAGCCTGGGCTACATGAGACTCTGTCTCAAGGAAAGAAAGTTTCCTGGAGCCCTTTTGTGATCCTTCTCACTTTCCTTCACCCCCTCATTACAAATACCCTTTGGTCTTGTCTCTGTCATTATAGATTAAGTTGCACATTCTAGTCTTGATCATTATAGATTAATTTACAAACCCTAATTTTGATATACAGAAACTTACAAATTGAACTCTCCTTTCTCTGGATTCTTTCCCTCTGCGTAATTATTCTGAGATTCATTTGTGCTATTGAAACTATAAATGGTCCATTCTTTTTTTAACTTTGACACTCCATTTCCTTATATGAATATACCTCAGCTCATGTAGCTATTCTCTTGTGTACATGTATGCATATATGCATGTGCATGTACATGTGTACAGACCTATACGCATGAGCGTGGAAGCCAGAGAGGTCGTTGGGAGTCCTGCTCTGTCACTCTCTCCATTAGTCCCTTGAAAACGGCTCTCCCTGAACCTGGAGTTTGATGATTTGGCTAGACTAGCTGGCAGTGAGCACAGCCCCCACCATCTGTCTGTCTCAGCCCCCAGCACTGGAATTACAAGCAAGTGCTACTTGTATACGAAGTGCTGGAGATCTGAAGTCAGGTCTTCTTGCTTGCAGAGCAAGCACTTTACTCACTGAGCTTTCTGCCCAGTCCAGCTGGCTGGGTTGTGTGGGTGGATGGGTGGTTGTTTTGTTTAGACAAGGTTTCATGTATCCCAAGCTGGTCTCAAATTCATTATGTAGCTAAGTCTGGCCTTGAACCCCTGATCCTCCTGCCGCTACCTCCCAAGTGCTAGGATTATAGGTGTGTGACACCATACCTGGCTTTCTGTTCAACTCTTTCCTCCATCTCCCCCTGCCACCTTCAATAAACTTTCTATTTTTTTGTTTGGTTTTGTTCTTTTGAGTGAGGGTCTCCCTGTAGCCCCAGATGGCCTGGAACTCACTATGTAGACCAGGCTGGCCTTGAACTCACAGAGATCTGCCTGCCTCTGCCTCCCAAATGCTAGGATTAAAGGCATATACTACTTCACCCACCCACTCCTTTAAACAATTTTTATTTTATGTGTATGAGTATTCTGCCTGCATGTATGTAAGTGTACTCATGGCATTAGTGCAATGCCTAAAGAGGTCAGAAGAGGGCATTGGATCCCTGGGAACTGGAGTTACAGATGGTTGCAGGCTAGCATGTGGGTACTGGGACTCAAACCCAGGTCCTCTGCAAGAGCAGTTGGTTCTCTTAATCGCTGAGCCATCTCTGTAGACCCAATTTAATTTACTTTTGAGACAGGGTCTCACTATGTAGACCAGGCTGGCTTTGAACTCACAGTGATCCACCTGCCTCTGCGTCCTGAGTATAGGGATTAAAGCTGTGTGCCACACTGCCTGGCTAGATTTTTTTTAAATTGAAACCTTTTAAAAATGTCTCACATTTAGATGTCATCCTATGATACATATATTATGATAGATGCCTTAGGCTTAAGGCATAGGCCACCACACCCAATTCTTGAATTGCTTTTTTGTTTGGTTGCTGTTGTTTTGTTTTAAGAAAAGTCTCCCAGGACTGGAGAGATGGCTCAGCAGTTAAGAGCACTGACTGCTCTGGACCCAGGTTCAATTCCCAGCACCCACATGGCAGCTACGAACTGCCCTTAACTCCAGTTCCAGGGGAATCCGATGCTCTCTTCTGACCTCTGCAGCATTGCAGACACAGGTGCACTCACTTACATGCAGGCAATACACTCATACACATAAAATAAAAATAGTAAAATATTAAAAAAAAAAAAGAAAAGTCTCCTATGTATCCCAGGCTGGTTTCAAACTCATGATGTTCCTGCCTCTGTGAATGCTGGGAGGACAGGGTGATAACATCATACCCAGCTATTTCTTGGATTTCTGTAGGTTACTGGGCCTCCCTACCCTAGACTGTGAGTTCCGATAGAGTGGAACTATCTCGATCTGTTTTGGAAAAAAGCCCGGGAAGCACTTGTGCAGATGTTGCGCTGACACCAGGGTTAGTGTCACTGCCTGATCTGCATGGTTGTTTTTTTAGATGCTGCGTATCTTGATTCCCCCTCCAAGAGAGTGATTTTTCCCCGGGTAGAAGTGTACTGCCAGATAGAGCTCGCCCTTGGCCATGAGCCCCAGGATCAAAGTCGGCCAAGCCTCCAAACGCAGGGGGACATTAAGGAAGAAGCCTCGAAACCACACCCACAGGGGGATCCTAAAGAAGACGGAAGTGGTGACCATCCCCCTGTGTCTCCATCCCGGAAGACACCTGAATCCACATGTGAGCCGTCTGCGGAGTCACCCGAGCTACCACCTGCATCACCGTTGACTCTGTGCGAGCCAGGCCCAGTCAGGAGACCTGGGCTGCCCACCAACCCCAATAGCATTTGCCTAACTAATCCTCAAATGCAAAACCCAGAGCCAGGGGTAAAGGACAGCTGTAAACTGGACTTGGCCTCCGAGGACCCAGGGGCAAAAGACTTGCCACGTGCACTACCTACCTCCCTCTCAGCCTCATGCTCACCCAGCTCGGAGACTGGACCACTACCGTCTGTTGCATCACCTGAGTCCCCTCAGCAGCAGGTACAGCCATTTGGACTACAGCTCAGACACCCACACTCCAAGTCAGCCACAGCAGTCGGGGCATCCCTGGGACCTTCAGCAGAGGGAACACTGGGAGGGTCTCACACCTGTCCTTTGACATCACCCACCCTGCCACAGGTGGAGGAGCCGTGCCCAGAACACTCACCAGGTATGATCCTCCCAGCTCTGGCCCTCAGGCAAGCTCTTAACACCTAAGGAGAAACACCACTCTAGGGGGAGGGTTGGTGGGTGCCGTTAGCCGGCTGCCTTTGCAGCCACCACCATGAACTGGAAAGGTTAAGAGCACTGGCTGATCTTGCAGAGGACTGGAGTTCAGTTCCCAGCACCCATGTTGGACAGCTCACAACCACCTGTAACTCCAGGTCCGGAGATCTGACACCCTCTTCTGGCCTCTAAGGGCACTGCAGGGACATGGTGCACTTACATACATGAAGGCAAAACTCATATACATACAAATTTAAAATAAAAAAAAAAAGAAGGCGAATAGGAGCTGGAGAGCTGGCTCAGTAGTTAAAAGCACTGGCTGCTCTTGCAGAGGACCTGGGTTCTGTTCCCAGCACCTGCATGGTGGCTAACAACTGCCTATAACTCCAGTTACAGGGGATCCAACACCCTCTTCTGACCGCCACAGGAATTGCACACATGGGTGAACTTACAGACTTGCAGTCAAAATGCTCATACACATAAAATTTTAAAAAATAATAATAATAAATTTTAAAAGAATAATCATCCTAAAGCTATTAGTATTCTCTGTTCCAAGAACAAGGTGCAAATACTATGTGTTGGTGGGAGCTCTGACTCCTGGGGATTTACTGCAAACTTCCCCTAACACATGACTTTCAGGGACAGAAGTGTCTTTGCTGTCAGCTCAGGGGTCAGCATCTGCCCCTCCACAGCTGCTGCCCTGGATCTGAACCAGATACACTGATGTGATGATTTGGTCCTAACTATGAGAATCAGGGAGTTCTTTGCTGTTTTATTATTTATTTATTTGCTTATTGAAAAACAAATACTTTTATTCATCTTTGGAAATTTCATATACATATACAATGTATATTGAATTTATTTATTTTTACCTTGTGTGGGTGCACATGCACGTGCACATATGCTTCTCATAGGACATGTGTGTAGGTCAGAGGACAACTTGTGGGAGTCAGTTCTCTTCTACCATGTGGGTCCTAGGGACTGAATTTGGGTCATTATGCAGGAAGGCAAGTGAATTTACCCACTGAGCATTTAGCCTGGCCTAGTTTTTAATTTTATATATATATTTTATTTATTATTTCTGTTTTATATGTATGAGTGTATTGCCTGCATGTATGTAAGTGCACTCATGTCTTGCGGTGCCTACAGAGGTCAGACCTCCTCTTCTGTCCTCCTCAGGCATTGCATGACATGGGTGCACTTACATACAAACAGGGAAAACACTCATATATATATAAAATAAAAATAACAAATAAAATATTTAATCTATTATTTTTATTATTCAGAAGAGGGTGTCAAATCCCCTGGAACTGGAGTTACAGATGGTCAGCCACCATGTGGTGCTGGGAATCAAACCTGGGTCCTCTGCAAGAGTAGCCAGTGCTCTTAACTGCTGAGCCAGCTCTCCAACTCCAAATAAAATATTTTAAAACACCTACTGCTCAGCATGGTGGTGTACGCCTTTGATCCCAGCACCTGGGAGGCAGAGGCAAGCTGATCTCTGTGAGATGGAGACCAGCCTGGTCTCTATAGCAAGTTCCAGGCCAGCTGGGGCTACAGGGAGACCCTGTCTCAAAAAACCCCACATTTATCATTGCTATTTGAAAAATAGCCAAGTACGCCCTACCTGCCGCCTCACTTTTACCTCCTGTATTTTCACTTCACTCCTCCTGCCTCTTCAGAACCACAGAGGACAGTGGCAGCACCTCCAGTTAAAGGAAAAGAGGCCAGGAGCAAGCCTCTCCTGATGTAAGTTTCCCCTCATCCAGATACCTTCTCTCCTTCGCTGGGGGAGGGGCCTGGCTAAGTGAGCACTCCATCTTTTCAGCTGCCTGGGGATGACTCAGGTCCTCCTCTAGACTGTGTGGTGGGGATCAAACCTGGGTCCTCACACGTGGAGCACACTTCCAGGCCTGCTTGTCTGTCCACCAGTGACGCAGTATGTGGAACTCGTCTGTTCACATTGGTGATGCCATCCTTCCACCTCCCTTTTGTGCACACTGGGCATACCCTCTTCCAGGACAGTGGGAAAGAGTGCACTCCCAGTCTCTTATCTTTTTAAAGAATATACCTTTTATTTATTTTCTATATATGAGTGTTTTGCCTGCATGTGTGTAAGTGCACCCATGAGTGCAATGCCTGTAGAGGCCAGAAGGGGCATCAGATCCCCTGGAGCTTGAGTTAAGAATGGTTGTTAGTCACTGTGTGGGTGCTGTGCATGTGTCTGTTTGTGTATCTGTATGCTAGCATATGCATGTGTGAGTGGGTTCCTGCTGAGGCCAGAAGAGGATGTTGGATCCCCTGGAGCTAGCGATACAGGTGGTTGTGAACTTCCCAATGTGGGTGCTGGGAACCAAATTCCAGTCCTCTGCAAGGGCACCAAGTGTTCTTAACTGTTGAGCCATCTCTCCAGCCCCCCTTCAAAGTTTTGTAGGTAAAATTAGATATAATAGCCAGACATGGTGGTGCACGCCTTTAATCCCAGCACTTGGAGGCAGAGGCAGGTGGATCTCTGTGAGATCTTGGCCAGCCTGATCTACCTAGTGAGTTCCAGGTAACTGGGGCTACAGAGAGACCTTGTTTCAAAACAACACAAAACAAAACAAAAACATAAATAAAAATAAATTACTTTAAAATTTTTCTTTATATAATTTTAATTTAAATTTTCATCTCAAGACATAAATTATGCATTATGGTTGCGTGATTTTTAACTTCTTTGCATCTACATGTAAGTAGATGTAAGTTTGAGTTTTGGTTGACTCCTTGGCCTGGTGGTACTTGTATAAATAAATAGTCGTTGATAATCAAAAATATTTGCTGGGGAACTCTGACCTCAGCCGGGACAGGTGGGTCTACTTGGTAAGCTGAGACTCTGAGGACCGTGGACACTGTTCAGGACACTAACAAACCACTCCTTGATCTCTTCACCCAGGGAAAGTCCGGCTCCAGATTCAAACTGGGTCAACAAGGTTTTCAAGAAAACCAAACAGAGGACAAGCACCACCAGAAAGTGCTTCCCCAGACACCCCCAGACCAAGAAGCCAGCCGGCAAACTGCAGTGAGTCGCTAAGGTGTATAGTAACAGGGCCTAAGAGCGCTGCTCTGCCGGGCTTGCTCAGCGCTCATGGTTAGGACACTCAGTCTCGCTGAGCTCCCCCTTCCTGACTTGCAGAATGGGGGCGATCCCAACTTCTCAGCTTGTGAGGGTGCGGTGCAGGCAGCTGTGTGAATAGGAAATCACTCTGGAAACAGCAGGTGTGAGAGTGATGTAAGTTCTGGAGGGTCACTAGCTGTGCTCAGTTTCTGAATAGCCTGTGCTTTAAAAGGAGGCTGGGGCCAGCGGGAAGGCTCAGCAGGTAGAGGTACTTGCACGTGGGTCTGAGGACCTGAGTTCGATCGATCCCTGGATTCCACAAGGTGGCAGGAGAGAACTGACTCCCGATAGTCATCCTCTGACCTTGTGTATGATGCTCATAAGTGTACGTGCTGCACATACACATATACAATCAACCAACCAATCAGTTTAACACTGGTCAGGCATGGTGGTGCACATCTTTAATCCCAGCATTCAGGAGGCAGAGGCAGGCAGACCTCTGTGAGTTCCAGGCCAGCTGGAGTGACATAGTGAGAACTTGTCTCAGAAAAACAAACAAAACCAAAAAAATGGGCTGGACACACAGGTGCCTGCTTGACCTTCAACATGAATCTAGGTCCCCTGACAAATATAAGCCTGTTTTCATCTCCTCCTCCTCTTCCTCTTCCTCTTCCTCCTCCTCTTATTTTTCTTTAGACAGTGTTACTCTGCCCCCCCATGTAAGTAAATAAACAAATGTAATTTAAAAAATTAAAAGAAGAAAAAGAAAACTATTGATGGATGTGCAAATCCACACCCCAAGCCTATCATCAAGGTGGGCTGTACAGGATCTTGTTGCAGTTTCCCAGAGAGGGCAGGTGACTAGCCCAGGGTCACCATGCAGGTGAAGGTGGGGTTTGGAACTCTTCTTAGTTCTCACGCGTGCGTCCTTGGTTCTCTCATTCAGGTCTGTTCCTTGCCCACTCGACTTCCCTGTGCTGACCACATCTGAGACAGTTTGGGTCACCTACAAACCTCATCCCAGCCAGATCCATGAGAAAACAGCTGCCCTAAGGTGTGGCGTTAGTTCCCTCTGGGTGTCCCCCAAGGGTGACCCTGCCTATCTTGTCCCAGGAGGCTGTAATGATCCCAGGAGTGGTGCTAGCTAGCTCTATTTCTTCCAGCTCTCCCTTCCTGGCCCTTTGTGGAGAGAGAGAGAGAGAGAGAGAGAGAGAGAGAGAGAGAGAACGAACTAGAGTGCTGGAGAGATGGCTCAGTGGCTCTTGCAGAGGACCCACATTTGGTTCCTAACACCCACATGGCAGCTAACAACCACCTGTGACTCCAGCTCCAGGGAATCCAACGCCCTCTTCTGGTCTCTGCAGGCACTGCACACACTTGATGCACTTGTATACATGCAGACAAAACACTCATACACATAAAATTTTAAAAAATAAATAAAGCAAACCCCCAGGTTTGGGAACAAACTTAGATTCACAGTTTCTATCAAGTGAACTGGTAGCTTGCTCAGGGCTGCCCTAGAATGAAGCTAAAAAGGAGATCTCAGTAGAATTTAGAATGGGGTGTTATGGAGGGAGGACTCCAAAATGATGACTCTGTGTGCTTTTCCTAGGAAGTGAGTGGACAAAACTCCTAAGCTGAGGAGGAAAGATTCCAAGGACCTGGAGCCTGGGCCCAGATCCCTACTGCCCTCAGATGCCCTCCCACCTAAGGCCTGTTGGTACCTGGGGGATGCCTGTTGCCGTCCAGTGCCCCAGAAGTTCTGTTCCCCCAATGTGTATTTCCTGCTCTGAACAGCCTCCTGCTTCCCTGTGATCCTTCCTGCCTTCCCACAATCTCTTCTGGATAGACAGATGGACGTCAACACATACCACAGGGCAAAACTCAGAGTCCAGCTGGTAGGAGCCAAGGACAGGTTTTCCTGGCTCCTGTCCTGTCTAGAGGCCAAGTTCTTCTTTGGTCTTGTTTCCGGTTCTCACAGTGCATTGGAGTCTCCATTCACAAACACTGGACCCACTTTCCAAGCTATTCCCTGGGGTCACCCAAGGAGAGGGCCTGGCCCCAACCTTGGCTTCAAGATCTTTTCAAAGGCCCCTGAGGAACTATGTGGTGCAGCAATGGAAACTGGTCACCATGTCCCAGTCTTGGGGTAGTTGTGAAAGATGTCAAGGACCTGAGAGACCAAATGTCCCCTCCCAGCACCTTGAGGGAAGGCTGTCATTCACACTACAGTGAAGGTGATCCATGAGAAAGACATCTTCAGTAAAATTAACATCTGACCTCTATGCCGAAATGGCTCATCCAAGTTCATCTTAAAGAGTGACATGAATTGGCTAGGGGTTACTTAGGGAGCTGGGGGTAACTGTGGAGAGCTGTTTGCTTACCTGAGGTCAATCAACCATGCTCCTGTTCCATATGGCTTGAAGTCAACAGCAGAATCGATGTAAACCCAGTTCAGAGTGCTACCTAGTGTTAATCAGTCGAAGTGACCACAGGCTCTGGTGACAAGGCACAAACAAAACCAGACCCTGGGAAGGTTGTGTGTTCATGTGGGGCCCAACCTGGCCTTCTCAGAGACTCTCAGAGACTTACCAGCTCTCTGCAAACACTGACTGTAGGAAGGGCAGCTTGTTTTCTACTGTCTGGGTCTGCCAAGTAAAGTAGTTAACTGGCAGTTTGCTGCAAGATGGAGTTACTTTGGCTAGGATTTGGGAGTTTGGTCTCACTATAAACCTCAGTTCCAGCCTGTCTGGAAGGAAATGCACCCAACTGCTCCCCAGACAGGAAACTATCCCAGCCAGGGCTAGTAAAGAGGCTCAGACTGCCCACAGGCTTCAGCAGCATTTGCCTAACAAATACTCAGATGCAAAAACCCAGAGCTGAGGCGCCACTCAACTGTAAATTAGACTTAACCACCAAGGACCTGGAGGTAAAATGTAAGCTGAGATAGGGGGTTGCTGTGGCAAGGAGATCCTGGGGGAGCCCACTTTACTAGTCATTTGTTCAGGGAACAAAATGTGCCTTGGGAAGGCCATCAAAGAATCAAGGTCCCTGAGAGGAGCACAGTGGTGCATCCTGGAAAATCAGGAGTTCAAGAACATCCTCAGCTACATGGTAAGTTTGCGGTCAGCCTGGGCTACGTAAACTCTGTCTCAACAGGATAACCCGGGGCTGGAGCGATGGCTCAGGGGTTAAGAACACTAGCTGCTCTTGCAGAAGACCTGGGTTCAGTTCCCAGTACCCACATGGTGGCTCACAACCACCTGTAACTCCAGCTCCAGGGGATCCAATGCCCTCTTCTGGCCTCTGAGGGTGTTGCATGCCTGTGGTATACATATAAACATGCAAGCAAACACTCATACACATAAAATAAAAGTTTAACAGAAAGAGATTGACCTTTTCACCCCACCCCCTGAAAAAACAAAGTTCCAGGTAACCTGCAGCCTCCCTCATACTCGGGGCTGTTGCTGTGGTGTAGACCAGGAGCACCTGGAGACTAGTCTGTGGGAAAGGCAGATCCCTGAGTGTCACCCCTGGTGGAAAGACTTTCATCTATGAATTCCCCATGAGCCTGCAGGCTCAAGGACTTTAGTCCTGGGGAGGGTCTGTCTCAATCAGGACACTTACTCCTTGGCACAGGGGAAGGTGGCACCTACTAAAAATTATAGAACTTTGGAAGCCTCAAAGCTACCAAAGTCCATGCTCCAAGGATCCAGGAAATCCGCCTGTAGGATCTCTTCACTTGTTAATTTAGCCTGTTATTTAAAAGAATTTTTTTGAATTATCTATTTTTATTTTATGTGTACGAGTGTATTGCCTACATGTATGTAAGTGTGCCCAGGTCATGCAGTGCCTGCAGAGACCAGAAGAGGGCATTGCATCCCCTGGAACTAGAGTTATGGACAGTTGTTAGCCGCCATGTGGGTGCTGGGATTCGAACCTAGGTCTTCTGCAAGAACAGTTGGTGCTCTTAACTGCTGAGCCATCTCTCCAGCCCCTAATTTCTCCTGTTTTGAGATAATAAAGAGACTTATGTTTTTCACTAGTTCTAGGATTGCCAGCTAAAACACAGGACACCTTGTCAAATGCAGATTTCAGGTAAACACTGACCATTACAATCATTTACCTGAGGTTCAAATTCGGCTGGGCATCCTGTACTTTTGTTAACGCTGGTAACCCTAATTAGTCCCTTTCTCCTTTATTTCTTTTCCTTTATCAACAATCACAGACTGATTTTTGTTTTGATACAAGATCCCATGTAGCCCAGGCTGGACTCAAACTCTCTATGTAGCAGAAGATGATCTTGAGCTCTTGATCCTCCTGCCTCCACCTCCCAAGTGCTGGAACTCAGCTGACATCATCACCTCCAACTTATCCATTAGCCTTCTGACTTCTCAGAGGGAGGAAGTTCATTGTATTACAATGTCACTTGTCCACCTTTAAATAGACTTTCAAGGCCAAGCATGGTGGTGCACACTTTTAATCTTAGCACTCAGGAAGCAGAGGCAGGGTGATCTCTGTGAGTTCGAGGCCAGCTGGTGCTACATAGTGAGACCCTGTCTCAACAAAGAGAAAAGACTTTCAAAGCAATATGATCTCCTATGTACCTCAGAAAAGCATCATGGTGTAAGATAACCCATGTTCCATCCGCCCTGTTTAGACTGGCACAAATTCACTCTGAACCCTGAGGGTCCTGAGAGATCCAGCTGTGTCTTTTGCATCTGTGTATCCCACACAGTTGGTATCATATCTGGAACATAGTAAGTGTTCAATAAAAGCTAGCTTCCATGAATGATATGGATTAGGCAGTGGGGTCTGGGCACTAACCAGGAGGTCTCAGAGCCTGGTCCTGGCCTGGGTCTATCTGTAGTTGACTGTGTAACCTTGGACAAAGCATGTCCCCACTCTGGGCCGTGGTTTTCTCCTTTGTGAAATGGTGATTGGCAGACTGCCTTCTCTTGATCTCTTTGGAGCAATGGATGAGCCTCAGGGATGAGGCATGGATATGTGGTTTGGAAATAAGACACTCATGCATCATCACAGAGGAAGAGGCTTTTGATGTTTTCCATAGATACCATGGTTTCTGAGCCAATATCTAGTGCTATATTCTGGCAATTTTTATCTTAGCTCAGTGATAGAATTTGGGTACCAGAGTTTAGGAGCTAAGAGGAGATTGTATAGAATCGAGATTGAAATAAAAAAGACTAACCTAGTCTTTCTGTGACCCTCACCTTGAGAGTCACATGTGGAATTGTAGCAGGTTAGATTAGGCCAAGTATCTTGGCCTCAACATCACCAGCCTGGAAGCAGATGGACTAAAACCCTGGTCTCCTCACCACCACAATTTAGGACCCTTTTGTTACTACGTCAGCAAGTTGTCATCCCGAGGACTGGCCACCCGAGGAAGATCCAGAGAGCACCCTGGACAGGGACAGGGAGGCTGGCCCCACCACCATGCAGGTTCTAACTATCTTAGATGGAACAGAGGGCAGCCATCTTGCCTCCACAGGATGCCTCCCTTAGAAAGATCCAGATCACACTCTGTGAGAGAATCAGTTTATTATTTCAAAGAACACAGTACAAAAATGAGACTTGGATGCCAGCATCAGGAACTCATAACAAATATTCTATAAGCCTAGAGGGGATTACTGCAAATATGTATAGGAACTGAAGAGATGCTCAACACTTAAAAGTGCTTGCTGCTCTTGCAGAAGGTGGGAGTTTAGTTCCCAGGATCCAGGTCAGAAAGCCCCATAACCACCTGGAACTCCAGCTCCAGGAAATCCACACATACACATACATAACAAATAATTTAAAATAATTTATATATAGAGAGAAACCATGTACAGTCAGGTATGGGGGCACACACCTGTAATCTCAGCTCTTAGAGGGCAGAACAGGAAAATTACTGCAAATTTGAGGCCAGCCTGGGTGACACCATTCCAGGCCAGCCTGGGCTACATAGTAAGACTCTGTCTCAATTAAAAAAATAATAATAATAAAAAAGAAAGATAAATTACAAAAGGTTTTTGACCTTCAATTCAAAACTTTTATTCCTACAGGTTAGTGCCGTGTTCCTGAATATTACTTAGAATAAACCTATAAAGGGCTCACCTCACCTGTCTAAGCAGCAGCAATTAGAAACAGGTGGTTTTCACACTATGTGTAGCTGACTTCCTGATAGGGTGCCTGAATTTGAGGCAAGCTCTACCTATAAGCCTCAGCACCCTGTTCATTCTCGTTCTCATTCTGTCTCCTCTCTCTCTCTCTTCCTCTCTCTCCCTCCTCTCCCTCTCCTCTCTCCCTCCCTCCCCTCTCTCAAGACTCTCTTTCTCTCTCTCCCCCCCCCCCCCCCCCCCCAAGACCCTCTTTCTCTCTCCCCCCCCCCCCCCACCTCACCATGCTTGCTAAAAGCCTGACATGGCCGTCCTGGCTTAAATACCCTCCCCCATGGCCAAACCTTCCAGGCATTCCGAGCCAGGGTGTCAGATATGCTTGTGACCCTATCAGCTACATATGGATATGGACACGTGGCAAACTGTCCATCTAAGTCACCAGTGAGTTGGGTGGAAGGCAGAGCCGGCAGCACCCACAGCTCATGTTTGTATAAATATATTCACATTTACAAGGAGAGCCCTTTCAAAGATACTTGACAGGCGTCAGTTGGGAAATTGCCATGATACATCGCCAATGTCTAGAACGGGAAATGTACCTACTAGGGTATGAGACTCTTAGCCGTACACAACCGTGCAACCATCCACGACAGTCTAGCTCGAAGCCCTCCTCCACTTTCTGAAAACTACCCAGATGCAACTATCTTTAAAACAAACCAGATATGGCACACACTTGTAATCCTAGCACTCAAGAGGCTGAAGTCAGATTGAGAGTTAGAGGCTAACCTGGGTTGCATAGTAAGACCTGTCTCGATAAAATAAAAACATCATATATATATATACATATATATATATATATCACTAGATAAGGTTCAGAACGCTTTACATCTGTGTTTTCACTGACTCAGTAAATCTCATGAGAGAGAAGAGGCAAATTCATTTCTCTGATCATGGAATTACAGGACACAGCGTCACTAGGGTTTGAGAGACCCCCAACCTATAGGTCTCCTCCCTTCCCCCACCGGAGTCTGCAGAGTTCCTGGTGGACATTCACGAATCCATGAGCACCAAGCACTAGCTGAGCCAGTAGCTCGTGGCATGCAGAGCCCCATCTGTTTGTGTGTGCTTCTTCTGGCTGGAGAGTGAATAAAAAAATATTTTGCCTCCCTCCCTCCTAAACATGCACAATAACTATCCAGAGACTGCTACAAACTTGTAAATAGTTTTTGGATCAAATAGCATAAGGAGATGGGGACTCCTGTTCCCCTTTGCGTTGTAAATTCAAAAGTGGGGGGGGGGAGAGGGATAGTTAAAATGTTTGCAAAACTTTAAGCTCCCTCAGAACTTTTGCCAATGTGGAGGAAAATAAAAAGAACTTAAATTTAAAAAAAAATTGTTTTCAAAACTAAGACTCATTTAAAGCAGGGTATGGTGACATCTAATGATGTCAGCGATGGAGAGGCGGAGACAAGGCAGATCCCTGGAGCTCACTGGTCAGACTAGTGGTTCCTCGTGAATTCCAGGCCAGTGAGAGACCCTGTCCTGTCTCCAAAACCAAGGTGGATGGTCACTGGGGAACAACACCCAAGGTTGATTTTTGGCCGGCACAGACACAGATATACGTGGATACACACACACACACACACACACACACACACACACACACACACAGAACAACTAAGACTCATTTAAAGTTGACTCTGGCAAGATATCAGTCAGCCCTTTTCATGGTCCAACCCAGCCTCCAGGTCCAGCCTCAGGAAAGAAGGTGATTTCAGACAATGCTGAGTACGCAGAGAACCGTTGTCCACCCGTGTCATCAGACTTGTTCAGGAAGCACAGAACTGGTCTGTCCTACATCTTCAGGATCTTCTGGCTAAAAAGCTACTGACTGTTGGCTGGTCCGGGACAACCCAAGAGCAAGATGCAGCCTTCAGTCTGGACTCTGACCATCCAGACTCATAATGTTCTGGCGGGGGGGGGGGGCAGAGGAAAAGCATCTTTGTTTAACCACAGCCCTGGTCATTGGGTCCCACTCTGCAAACAGCAGGCTTTCTACTGCCCCATCCACCCCTACACTACATCCCTCCAGCCTACAGTGCTCCTTCATTCTTCCTCCCCAGTTACAGCTGCCCAAGCTTGACCATCCAAATCTATGTCCACCACCTCCTGGAGGCCTCCTGGGACCAACTTGCTTCATTGGCCTCAGCTGCCAGTCTCTGGACATTAATGACTTAATTCTGTCATCATGGTTTAGAATCATCTCAGAAGATTACAGCAAGAAGGAGGCATTTGAACTAAATCCTAAAAATTCTAACTTAGGGGCCAGCAAGATGGCTCAGCAGGTAAAGGAGCTTGCTGCTAAGCCTGACAACCTGAGTTCAATCCCCAGGACCCACATAGTGGAAGAAGAGCATCGACTCCTGGAAGTTGTTCTCTGACCACCTGTTCTATGGTGCTCATATGCACATACATGCACAATAAGTAAATGTAGTTCAAAACATTTTTCTTAAGTTCTGACTGAGTGGAGGGGAGAAGCAGGAAGATGCCACCACAGGCCACTCAGGACCGGCTGCCCCTTGCACCATGATGGTGCATCTTTCCCTCTCTCTCTCTCACCTGCTGGGCCTTCCTGGACAGAAAATGGGCGTAACTGTGCCCCCTGTAGTTCCCTCTGGACTGCATGAGGGTGCAGATGGCGCAGCTGTGGTTGGCGGCAAATTTGTTGAGTGAGCCAAAAGCACAGGGTGAGGGTCTGCTGGCGAGGCTCCTGTCTTCCGCTAAGAGGCAGGCCCTCTGGCTGTGGAGGGTGGCCACCAGCTTCCTGAGGGAGGTGTCTGAGAACTGATAAAAAAACTTCTTAAAGCTGGGGCGCCTTTGGATCTGGAAACAGAAGTCAAGGCCATTAGTACTGAAGGCAGGATCCCTCCCACCCCAGGTCGTTCCCCCAATGTCCTGAGTGAACTCCCCTTCATTAAATCTCTCTGCCATCCCACTCTCACTTCCACAAGGTCTGGCTCACAGATGTAGAAGATAGCAGAAAATAAAGCTCGGGTCATTAGAGGCATAGCGGACACCTCACAGAATACCATCTATACACTGGGAGCCATCAAATACCCTCCCCCAGGATCGTTGAAGATAGAAGCCAGATAGTCTATGCAAAACAGTCAATAGCTTCTTAGCCCCACTCTAAGGCTCCTCTGGTCAGCTTTCTCCTCTTTATACCTGGACGTGTCAGGTGGGCTCCTCCAGGGGCCATGGTGAAGGCCTGTCCCGTGGAAGTGTGTTGTGTTATTAGCTACCAAGTGGTGCTGGGAACTGAACCTGGGTCCTCTGCAAGCAGCCGGTACCCTTAACTGCTGAGCCCATCTCTCTAGCCCCACATTCCATTATTTTAAACTAACATTTACCTCATCTGCCACATATCTGGTATTTTTTACATAGACACTAAGTTTGGTCAAGTAGGAATTATCCCTCAGTTTGCAAAAGAGGAAACTGAGGCTCAGATAAATTAAAGGAGATGACTAAGGTCACCCCACCCAGAGGTGAGGACAGAACCCAGGTCTTGTGGAAGGGTGGATGAGGCCCAATGTTGGCCTGCAAAGTTTGAGGGGTACTCACCTGACTCCCCAACTCGCCATCCACCTCTTGAAGAAGTGCCACCAGGCTGTGGATGATGAATTCCTCTAAGGGAAAGAAGGAAGGAAGGCTGAGGGGCTGCCCACAGTGATACCCAGCCCCCCAGGACAGAATTGCCACAACAGCACAGCTGTCATAAAGATGGTGCGTTCTCTCCAAGCACCTGTGACCACACTCAGCTCCATGAGACAGATGGGGAAATAGAGGCCTCCCAAGGTCAGATTAAAAGTTTGCCCTTGGAGTGGCCCACCAGAGTGTGGGGAGGGGATATGCCTCAGCCCAGGTACTGCCGTTGGCCAGAAGGCCACTGAGCTGGGTTATCAGCCCTTCTGTGCTGGTTTGAGCTGTTACTCAAATATGCAGGAGATTTATGGGGCAGTCATTACAAACTGTTGGTGGCTTGAAATAATTGAAACCAACCATTTATACCATTTACAACACTGAAATTGATAAATGGTCCAAATCAGGGCTCTCCACTCCAGCTAGTCTGTGTCGTAGAGTATAGGTGGTTATGGGACCAGAGAGAGCTAGGATTTAATACAGGACAGTCAAACCAAAGCAGAGATCAGGCCACTTCCCACAGAACACACAGGTGTTCTCTGCCCCCTCCTGGGAACAATTCCCAACTCAGCCTGGGGCACCATTCACAAAAGAAGCTGGCAGGGGACTGGAGAGATGGCTCATCAGTTAAGAGCACTAGCCGCTCATGCAGAGGACCTGGATTCAGTTCCCAGCACCCACGTGGCAGCTCATGACCACCTGTAACTCCAGTTCCAGGGGATCTGACACCCTCTTCTGGTCTCCATAAGCACTTGCACTCATGTGCATGCACACACACATGCAGACACACACACACAGTTCAATCCTACACACACACACACACACACGCACATAAATAAATAAATAAATAAATAAATAAATAAATAAATAAATAAATAATAAAATAAATCTTTAAAAAGAGAGAAGCCAGGCGTGGTGGTACACGCCTTTAGTCCCAGCATTTGGGAGGCAGAAGCAGGTGAATCTCTGTGAGTTTCAGGGCCAGCCTGGTCTACATAGTGAGTTCCAGGCCAGCTGGGGCTACAGAAGACCCTATCTCAAAAAGACCAGAGAGAGAGAGAGAGAGAGAGATTGAGATTGGCAAGAAGGCTATGCCTGCTAGGAGCAGGATGATACTCACTAGATTCACAGTCTCCCTCCAGTGGAGGCCCCTCGTCCAGCGTGTGACTTCTGGACTGGGGCTGTGCTTCTGAGAGCCCAGCTGGTCTGCCTCCTGCAGCCTGTGGCTCCTGGAACTCCAGGCTTTCTGGATGGGATTTCAAAAGGCAATGTGAGAATTCATCATCAGTGTCAGATCCTCGGGGTGGTCCCCAGCCCTGCTCTCCCTCTGAGGGGGCGTTCCCAGAACTCTCTCTTTACCCGCTCCAGAAATCAAACCTTTCTTTTCTCCCTAAGCCCCCTGCCTCCTTATAGTCTGAAGTTCTCACAGGTTAAATGAGATAGCATGTGTGGTCGTGGTATACAATAGGCACTACATAAATGCCAGGGACTCACTGTATACCAGTGATCCTTGTGCTTCAGGACATCCAGCCTTCCTCCTTCAAACCCTGGTCTGTTTCAGTTAGCTTTCCCTGGAGACATCTGATAGATGGAGGGGGAAGGTGTTGACTTGTGGGGGTGGAGGGGGAGGGTCCTGTTGATAACTAGCTCTTCTTCCACCTCCCCACTCTGCCCACAGAAGTCAAGGCTTGAAGCCAGCTTCTGTGACCATGGCAACGCCAAGCCTGCTCACCTGAGCCGCTGGAGACGGAGGCCCGGTGGCCACCAACACACATGGGCAAAAAGCCGTGCCTCTTGGGTGGCCGGGCCTCAGAGCTGGCGGCCCCTGAGAGCCCAGCAGCCTCTGTTTTCTTGGACTCCTTGGAGCTGTGTTTCTTGTGAGAAAAGGCCCTCCTGAGGTTGGGCTTCTTCTTCTTGCAAGCTGGAGTCAGTTTTTCAACAGCCTCCTGGACTTGAGGTTGCTGTCAGGAAGAACACAGACGCTGAGTCAGCGACGCCGACCTTGAAGAGTTTGAGGTGAACTACGGGCTGCAGGTGTGACCCAGCAGAGGATGACGGCATGCAGTGCTGGGTACTGTGGTCTAGGCAGATGGGGGGCTTAGGAAGGCACAGAGAGGGACCATGTGGGGACCAGAGGGGCAAGGCAGCGGGGCAGCATCCTCACCTGCCGTTCTTCTTTCTGTTCCCCTGAATTTTGGAGTAGGACCAGGATCTTCCGCCTGAATTCTCCTAAGAAAAGAATATGACTTTCATAGAAGCCCCGCCTACGGCCAGTCCTCACTTCTTAGGGACAGGTCTGTACACCCCACTCCTCCTGGGTGCTCGTGAGCTCCCCAGAGCGCACATATCCTTCCTCACACATCCTTTCACCAACAGGAGCCCGGGGGGGACAGATGCAGCCCTGTCCTCCTGGACAGGAGACCTGGCCTGATCCCCACAGGGTCTCCCACACTGCACCCTCTCATTTCAGGGCAGTAAGCCCCCTCAACTCCCACCGAAGGCCTGCTTTCAATGAAAATCCTATACAGCAGAATTAGGGACAAAGCAGTGATGGTTAAAAGTACAGGCAGCCGGCAGTGGTGGCGCACGCCTTTGATCCTAGCACTCGGGAGGCTGAGGCAGGCTGATCTCTGAGAGATGGAGGCCAGTTTCATCAACATGGTGAGTTCCAGACTGTTCAGGGCTACATTTATGTGTATGAGTGTGTTGTCTACATGTATGTAAGTGCACCTTGTGTGTGCAGTGCCCATGGAGGACAGAAGAGGGTGTTGGATCCCCTAGAGCCTGAGTTATGGACAGTTGTTAGCCAACATGTGGGTGCTGGGAACTGGACCCAGGTTTTCTGCAAGAGCAGTCAGTGCTCTTAACTGCTGAGCCATCTCTCCAGCACCCCCCCCTTTTTTTTCATGTGAGTTCTGCAGCTCAAAATCAGGTCCTTGTGCTTACTGAGACAAGCACTCACTGATCATACGATCTCCCCAGAATCCAATTTTTAAAAAAAATCATTTCCAGCTGTGCAGACCCAATACTATTTCACATCTAGTCCTGGCTCTGCCATGATCAAGTAACAGCTTCCACTGGCAGATAGGGAAACTGAGGCCAGTGGTGAAGTGTATTCTGGGCCTGCACTGCCTCTCCATCCTGTGGTTCCCAGAGGGAGGTCTAAACAGGCCTCAGCCTCCCTCTCCCTGCCTCAGTTTCTCTTCTGCAAGGGTCATGAGGTGTGTCTGAGGAGTGGGGTACTGACTGGATTCCGAGGCTTTGTCCAGCAGCAGCTCTTCTGGGGGACCTTGGAATCCGGCTGGGGTGGGAAGCTCAGAGGGGTGTGAGACCCCACCGTCTGTAGACAGGGCCTCGTGGACTCTGGGTTCTTCCAAGTCTGGGAGGCAGTAAAAGGTATGCTGTGTTAGCCAGCATGACGGAGGCTCAGGGTAGAACACAACATGGGATACCCACACATGGGTCGGCCTGCATGCCTTGGGGCTCTCTGCTGAGCTCTAGTAAGCTTCTGGGCTGTGCCAGGTCTAGGGCTCTGTTTGGGGGTCCAGAGCAAGCTTTCTCAGCATTCTGTACCCCACAGAGCTGGAACAGTACCCCCACCCTGCCACCATTTAGTTGGTCCATGAGGGGGGGCCAGTAGATGCCCGACTCCATGGCGTGCATGAATGGACCATGGCCAAAGCTACCCTGCATGAAAGACCCTAAGGCTGGTTCTCCTGCCCCCCACACTCAGGAAGAACCAGTCCAACCCCTTTTCCCTCTAGCTCTGGCTCTGACTTTGATGACTGTGAACACATTGGCTCCACCCCTGAGCCTTAGTTCCTTCATCTGTAAGATGAGGACAACCATTTTGAAACTGTACAGACAGGCTAAGACACAGACAGGATGTGGCAAGGAATCTGACAGGGAGATGGAGTGACAGAAAGTGCAGCTTGGGGCTGGAGAGATGGTTCCACACACTGGCTGCTCTTACAAGAGGAATCTCGTTAGGTTCCCAGCACCCACATGATGGCTAACAACTGCCTGTAACTCCAATTCCATGGGATCTGACACCCTCTTCTGGACTTTGTGGGTATTGCAAGCACAGGTACACTTACATGGGGACACTCATACTCATAAAACATAAATAATTTTTTGAAAGAAAGTTAGCTGAGAGGGGCTGGACATGTAGCTCAGCTGGTAAAGTGCTTGCCTAGCATGCATGAGGGCCTGGGTCATATAAACTGTGATGGCATATGATTCTAATCTTAACTATTGGGAAGTGGAGCCAAGGGGGTCAGAAGTTCAAGGTCATCCTCAGCAGCATAGCCAGTTTGAGATGGACTTCAGCTATTTCAGAGGAAAGGAGGAGAGGAAGAAGAAGAGGCAGAGGAAGAGGAAGAGGAAGAGGAAGGAAGGAAGGAAGGAAGGGAGGCCCGCCAGGAGCTCAGGCCTCCTGCCCCCCCCTTTTTTTCATGAGTTCAGTATCCCAGCCCCCAGCTGCAGAGATTTGGGAAGCTGGGGACCCCTGCACACAATCCCCATCAAGGACCTAGGTAGGCTGTCTGTTCCTTACGGAGACTGTGTGGAAGTGATCAGTTGTGGTCCCTTTCCAGCCCTCCCCACACTACTCAGGGCCAAGTATGAACTGCAGAGCAAAACTGGCCAATCCCAACCCTGGGATGGTTCCAGAGCTACGGGCCTTCCAGTGTTGCTATGGCAACTGCTAGAGTCTGCTCACCATGGCTGCTGGAGGTGGAGGTCCAGTGGCTACTAACACAGAGGGGTAGGAAGCCAGGCCTCCTAGGCCGGGGCTCTGGGCTGAGGGCAACGTCTGCACCCGCTCTCCCGGGCTCCTCCGAGGCCGGCTTCTTGAGGGAGAGCTTCTTGAGGCTGGGCTTCTTCTCCTGGGATTTCTTTCTGGCGGGTGGTGCTGGGTTTTGCACAGCCTCTTCTGGCTGAGGAATTTGCACTTCCTGTGGAGAAGAAGAGAGAAACTGAGTTAGACCTCTGACCTTAAGGAGAGGGCGAGGGAAGCCCCAGGCAGGACAACTGTGAGCCCCTGAGTAGGAGATGATAGCCGGGGTCAGGGATGGGCTAGGCTGGAAAGGTGGGTAGGGCACGAACCCAGAGAGGCAGTGGCTTTGGGGGCGTTGCTGGAATCCTGCGCCTCACCTCTTCTTCCCATTGGTCTCCTGCTTTCTTGAGCAATTCCACTATCCTCCGGATGACCTCCTCCTCTGGAAGAGAACACAGGTGTCCATCATGCTTAAGGACAGAGTATTCTAATCCTGCCTTGACCTTCTGACAGGGACCTGTACCAGGAAAAGGCCCAGAATAGCTCCTCAGGTGGTGAAGGGGGACAGTGCTACACCCAGTGCTGTCCTGAGTGAGGTTTCGCTGAGACACGGTGGAAGGGTTCTGGGTCAAAGCATGTTTTTGTTTTGTTTTTGAGACAGAGTCTCACTATGTAACCCTGGCTGGCTGGAACTCACTATGTAGACCAGGCTGGCCTCAAACTCATAGAGATCTACATGATTCTGTCTCCTGAGTGCTGGAATTAAAGAAACGTGCCACCATGCCTGGCCAATTCAGGTATTTTTTTAATTTTTTAAAAACTTATTTAGTATTTTTTTATTTTATGTGTATGAGTATGTCGCCTTCAGGTATGTAAGTGCAACTTTGTTGTGCAATGCCTGTGGAGGTCAGAAGAAGGAGTCAGATTCCCTGGAGCTGGAGTTACAGACAATTGTTAGCTGCCATGTACGTGCTGGAAATCAAGCCTAGGTCCTCAGCAAGAGCAGCCAGTGCTCTTAACCACTGAGCCATTTCTCCAGCCCCCAATTTAAAAAAAATGTTTAATGTCACATTTTATTTATATATTTTGTGTATGTGCATTTTAGCATGCCTGTAGAGGTCACAGGACAACTTGTGCCTGTCAGTTCTCTCCATCATACGGGTCCTAGGGATCAAACTCAGGCCAACAGCTTAGCAGCACAGGCCTTTACCCCCTGAGCAATCTCACTAGCATGACATCTTATGCTGGCAATTTCTAGCCAGCCATCTAGGCATTCAAGCCTGTACCCACCTAATTCCTTTGAGCCTCATGTATCTGTGAACACTCACTTTGCATTTGGAGAAGTGTGTGTCCTTGACTAAGTCTCTTGCCCCTATGAAGTGTGGGTCATACTCTCCATCCTGCCTCCCTCTCTGAGGCTGTTGGGACATCAAATGAAGGATAGGACTTGGAAACATTTCACAAAAATAACCCCTATTTTCTAACCTGTACACGGGGCCCTGCAGAAATGTTGGCTCCCAACTTAACTTGCTGGCACAGGGGGAAGGGCATCGGCTGGCATAACACAGTAGGCCTGCCTCATCGCTGCAGGGTCTCCTACCCCACCCCTTGCCCTCTCACTAATCTGTTTAGATTGTTTTATCACTCAGTTTACTGTTCTTTTCCCTCTCAAGTAAGAAAACAATCACAGCTAGGCATGGCAGCGCATGCCTTTAATCCCAGCACTAGGGAGGCAGAGGCAGGTGGCGCCCGCACTCATGTATACATGCCCCACACAGACACACATACGTATATATAATTTTAAGATAATAATAATAATAATAGTAAATCTAAAAAAGAACAAAACTTAAACAAAAATAAATTTTAAGAGCTAGAAAGCAACGTCCTGGTCCCGTTCCCACAGAGGCAGGAGAGCCTGCGGGAAGCATTCCAGGACCTAAGTCTCCATTCCAAGAGAGGAAAACATATCTATAAAATAAGTACGGGCAGCCAGAGCAGTAGAGGAGGCAAGAAAGAGCTGTGTGCATGCTTTGAGGGACCTCCCCTCCCATTTGGGGACAGTTACCCACCCACAGGCAAAAAGGACCCCAGCAACCTGGACTCACGGTCAGGCTTTTGAAGTATGTCTTCTGATGAGAGACCTGGAGAGCTGTCTGAGATTCCAGCGCAACATCTTTCCATGGGTAAGGACTGCAGGAAATCAGAATCTAGTCCTCCTGGAACACAGACAAGAGCAAGTGAGAACCCAGGTTACTGTTAACCAATGCCAGAACACAGCACCGACTGCACAGAGCCACGGACCAGGCAGTGGCCAGCCCCAAGCCTTGCCCAGAGCCAGGATTTCTGGGTGACAAGGGGCTGCCTCAGTCCAGCCTTCTCCCCCACCAGATCTCCCTGGAGTCTCCTCTCCATAAAAGCCACAGCTGAGCCCCGCACCATGCCCTGGGAGCAGAGGAGAATTCACTCCAGGTTCGGGGCAAGAGGGCACCTGGAGACCTTCTCTCTCCTTAACCAAGGAGGAATCAAAGGCTCCAGGGGCCACCAGTGCAGAAACTCCCACAATGGATTCATTCCTGATGGAGAACACCCACCCTGAAGGCATGCATGGGCCAGTAGGATGGGAAATCAGCATCCCTGCCCCTCCCTTCCCATTTACCCCCTCAAACCATCATGCCTAATAGCAGTTCTAGTGCTCCAAACTCTTATTTTCATGTGAACTATGTTGCCCCACAAGACAGAAACTGTTTTATCTTCTTTTTGTGGTAAGGCATGCATGGGCCAGTAGGATGGGAAATCAGCATCCCTGCCCCTCCCTACCCATTTACCCCCTCAAACCATCATGCCTAATACCAGTTCTAGTGCTCCAAACTCTTATTTTCATGTAAACTATGTTGCCCCACAAGACAGAAACTGTTTTATCTTCTTTTTGTGGATAGGAATAAAGAAATTAAGACTCACGGGAGAGCCACCAGCCCCCGGCCACACAGCCTGAAACCCTCAGCCATGGAGCTGTCCCACCTCAGAGAAACATTCCCCCGCAGTCCATACCGCCTCTCTGTTAAGGACCAAGCTTAGAGCAGCCTGGCCCTCAGGGTAAAGCAGTGGGGTTAGCCAGGGACCACTAGACTGCTCACCCCTACGAGCTGGCTCCAGGTCCACCTCCTCAGCTTGCAAGGCAGCAGTCAAGCTAGGCAGCAAATCCTCTTGGTCTTTTGCATCTGGGTCCTGGGTTCTCTTGGGTTCTTCAGCACCCGGTTTCCTGTGGTTGTGTTTCTTACGGCTGGTCTTCTTTTCCTGGGCTTTCTTCCTGGGAGCTGGCTCCTCAGCTGCCTCCGTGACCTCAGTGGGCTCCTCTTTCCCCTTTGACTTCCTGCTGGCCTTCTCTCTGGGCTCTTCCAGGCCCGTCCTCAGGAGTAAGAAGTTCAACACAACTTTCAGCCAGCTCTGCTGAGCCTGCTTGGGTACCTTGTCTTTCTTGGGGTCTTCTGGGGGCCTCTGCTCACTGGGGAGAAATTCCCTTGTGTCCTCTAGAGAAAGGGCTGCGGCTACAGTGCCCTGAGCCTCCGCAAAGTGAGATGGGCTCCGAGAACAACTGGCCCCATCGCTGGCCGTCCGGCGAAGCACCCTCCTGTAGGTGGGCCGGGAGAGGCACTGGCCATTGGAGGTCTGAGTGTCCTTCCTTGGGACCTGCCACCTGTCCAGTGACTGGACCCCCTTATCTGCCAGAGGCCTTCTTGGGCCCCTTGGGCTCTCCATTAGAGCTACAACCAAAACAAACAGCTTTCTTTAGTTGATTTCAGGAGGAAAGGCCGGCCCAATCCCACCCAGGCCCACACACCCTCCATTACCAGGAGGACACCCTTTCCTGGTGATGCTTCCCAAACAATCCCACAGGGAAGGGAGGTACCACCCCTATTTTCCAGAGAAGGAAATCAAGTTCCCCAACTGGTCAGTGGTACTTCCAGAGTACCCCAGAGGAACACAGCCCCGCTGTAATCACCTCTGTCTCCAAAGGTGATTTTGGACTTACGACTCTAGAACTAAATAGAGCAACAAATTTGTGTTGCTCCAAAGCTGCTGCACTAAGGAAAACTGCCACAGCAGAAAGAAGAAAACTCACACAGCTAGAGCCAAAGACATAAGGTCTCTTTGGATAGGTAGCTAACACGGTAAATGCCTCTGCACTGGTCCCACCTTAGAGCCTAGGTGTCCTTCTGGTCCAACCACAAGAAAGTAGTGGCTGGTGGAAAGGACTAAGAAGAGCCTCTCCTCCTGGAATATCCTATACAGCCTGGCTGTGGGTGCTGCACTTGACTTGCCTGTCTTTTAACTCCTGTGGCTTTCAAATTTTTCCGTAGTTTCTCAGAAAACTTTTTACCCGTTGGTGAAAATTGGAAGAAAGCTGTATGGTTCTAAATCCCAAATCTGAGGTTCCAGAGACTGCTGTGGCATTTGGTGTGTGGTTGTGTACTCTAACCGGTTATAATGGCTTTATCATGAACTGACTACAATTTAGTGGCATAAGATATAAAGTTATGTACTTCCCAGTCAGTCAGATGGCTCAGGGGTAAAGGCACTTGCCACACCAGCCTGATGACCAAGTTCAATCCCTGAAACCCACAGAACTGACTCCTGAAAGTTGTCCTCAGATCTCCATATATGTGCTGTGGCAACTCACACCCTCCATCACACACATAAAATAATAAACAATAAGGTATACAGTTCTATCATATTTCTTGTTTTTACCATCTAGTTAATTTATTTTAAAATGTATTATATTGATAGGTCCAGAGGCAAAAATAAGAATCTAGAATCAGGCCGGTGGGTGGCTCAGTGGGTAAATGTGCCTGTGGCCAAGCCTGACAACCTGAATTCAAACTCTGTATGGCAGAAGGAGTTACTGACTCCTGCAAGTTGTCTTCTGACCTTCACATAGCATACATGCATACAAACATGCATGCACACACACACACACACACACACACATACATGGCAAATGTAATTTTAAAAAGAATATAGAATGTTTCTTTTAAAAAGAGGGGATCTAGAGAAATGGCTCAACAGTTAAGATTGTGTGCTGCACTTCCAAAAGACCCAAGTTCATTTCCCAGCACCCACACCAGGCAGCTCAGAACAGCCTATTACTGCAGCTACATAGCAAGTCCCAGGCCAGCAGGGGCTGCAAGGAGATCCTGTCTCAAAAAAAAAAAAAAAAAAGAGGAGGTGGAGAGATGATGGCTCAACAGCTAAGAGCACTGGCTGCTCTTGCAAAGGACCCAGATTCCATTCCCAGCACCTACATGACAGCTAACAGTCATCAGTAACTCCAATTCCAGGGGCTCTGACTCCCTCTTCTGACCTTCTTTCAAGCTAGACTTGGGTGCAACTGTTTGTTTGGTCTACAACTGGTGTTCTAAGTGGAGAAATTGCACATTTTTTCATGTCTCCCTTAAAAAAGATAAGTCACCAAAGAGAAGTGTGATTGTTTCAACCTAGGCTTTAGAAGATGTTATCGAAAGCTTCATTCACAAGTTCAGAAGTAACATAGTTCCGGTCTAACACAGATATTGCTCTAGTGGGAACATGGGAGCTGGGCCAACTCTGAGACCCCAAACTATAGAGCCCACAGGAAGCAGTAACAGCTGGCGATAATCACGGACATTCCTCTATAACATGAGAAATGACTGTACTCAGGAAAGTTGTCAAAATATCAGGTAGGGGACTGGAGTGATGGCTCAACAGTTTAGAGCACCAGCTGCTCCTGCAGAAGACAAGTGTTTGGTTCCCAGCATCCACATAGTTGCTAACAACCATCTGTAACTCCAGTACCACGGAATCTGATGCCCTCTTCTCACCTCCTTGGGCATTGCATGACATGGTACATTTACATACATGCAGGCTATACACTCATACACATAAAATAATAAAATAGGGGCTGGATAGATGGCTCAGCATATGAACTCTGGTTGTTCTTGCAGAAAACCTAGGTTTGAATCCCAGCGCCCATATGGCAGCTAACAACTGTCTTAGCTCCAGTTCCAGGGGATCCGATGCCCTCTTCTGACCTTAGTGGACATTGCACAACATGGGTATACTTACATACACGGCTTACACATAAAATAAAAATAATAATAAATAAAATATTTTTTAAAAGAAGAAAAGAAAAGGCACATTAGGGGCTGGAGAGATGGCTCAGCGGTTAAGAGCACTGACTACTCTTGCAGAGGACCCACATGGCAGCTACGCACCGTCCTTAACTCCAGTTCCGAGGAATCCGAAGCCCTCTCTGACCTCTGTGACATTGAACAGCATGGGTGCACTCACATACAGGCAGGCACTCATACACATAAAATAAAACTGATAAATAAAACAAAAAAGAAAAGGCACATTTGAATTAACAGGCTACCTGATCTTATTAACTATATCAAAGGAAGCAGAGCCAGAAATTCTGACCAATGTCAGGAATGCTCCCTTTGGCCAGGACAAAAATGGTAGAGCAGCTGTTCAAACCCGAAAAGCAGCCAGACTCCCAGGACACCTGGCTCAGCTCCAGCCCCGCTTCTTCCTGCAGTAACCTGGCTCCAGGAGTCTGGGCCATGAGGCAGAGACATCCCACCAGCTGACAGGAAGAGAGGAACAGCTATCTTTTCAAAAACTGCTGTTGCTATGGAAACAGTTTTTGCAATCTCTGATGATCTTTCTGCATCCTCCTCCTGCCCTTCGGGAACATGCTGCTATTTCAATGAAAACATCTGTCTTCTCCAAGTTCCCCATTGAAGGGTCACCTCAGAGCCCCCAAGGCCTCCTGGCCCCAACCCCAGTGACCTCTTGTTCCTCACCCACGTCCTACCCTTTGATCCAAAGCCACCTCCTTAGGCACCTCTTTCCAGGTGGCCAAGATGATCTAGCTCAGCCCCACTTCCCTACTTCTCTGCCTGGTCCTTCTTTAGAATGTTTCAGAGACTCTGTCCCAGCTCCAGGTCAAGGGTTAGTCAAGGTGGGCACCCCTGCCCCGGAAAGACCCTGCAGGACCCTCTCTGTGAATCCGTGTCCTCAGCTCTTCCCTTTAAGACTGCCACCTACCTCCCCCGTCACATGGGCCGCAGGTCTTTGGAGGTGTTAGTGTGAACTTTTGCCCATCTGGGAGTCTTCAAGGAAGACTTTTTCCCTCCTTCCCCTTTTTCTTGTTTTGTACCCACTTCTGGCCTGACTGTCGGGGAATCCCACCCTGACTCAGACCAGAGGCCTGAAGACAGCAGCCCAGTCTTGTTGCGTGGAAACTCAACCACTCTCGTAAACACATTTTATTGTAGCAGAGAGCAGATTTCAGAGCAAAGTCCAACCCAGCCTGGAACACCCAGGCAGGTGACCCGCAGATCACATGACTCATCTAATATACAAACGACTCCAGTAATGCATTTGATAATCACCAAGGACCAGAGAACCGGCACCAAGCTGGCCCCAGGGCGAGACATTTTCTCCAAGCTCCTCCCATCTATGGCCTATTTGCTAAACAAAGTTGACCTCATTTTTCTGTTCACCCGGCTGTTAGGCTCAAACCACAAACAGCTCCCTCCCCACCCTTGCCCCTCACATAGTAGATTCTCTCTGGCTATTTCACCATGCTGCCTATCCAGGGGCGGCCCATAGGGACATGCTCCACACACTAAACCCGCCCTAACTCAGAATGTCCGATACTTTCTGTTTTGAATGTAAGAGAATAAAATCACATTTGCCATCTAACCTGTGTCTAAGATCCGTAAAGGATTCCAGGGCCAGCGGGTAGTTCCCTGCTGTCCCTACCCCTGACCAGGCAGGCCCTGGGTAAGTTTATGGAAAGAATAAATAATAGAGATAACACAAATACATGAGGCCTTTCACCTCCGTTCCCCTGTCACCTGTCTGCACCTGACCGTAACAGGGGGCACTGAGGACCTGAGCCACCGAGACTTGTTCAAGGTCCCAATGCTGAAAGCAGTGCCCTTTGCCCCACTCCAAACCCTGCCTTCTCCCTGCTACACCAAGCAGCCTCCTCTGATCACATACACAGAGTGACTTGTGCAGTTAGTTACACGTCTACATGTGTTTAGGGATGGACACATATACACCAGATAAAAAGATTGTGAAGCCAGTGTAAGCCTCACAGACCCCTGGAAGGCCAAGGGCCGTATGTGTCCCGAGCTCACAATGTCTCATAGGTCCATGCCCCTCAGTGGATAACACTCAGAAGCCCTGGGTGAGAGCTGGGCAGGGCTAAGCCCGAAACTATTACCCTGGACTCCTACAATGGTATAGCCCTTTCTGCAGCTCTTACTCCCACATGCAGGGTTGTGGGGGGCTGGCTATTTCACCATGAACCCCCACTGGCAGTCCTGGGATGGGAGTCAAGATGATCCTGTCTTTCCTCAACATTATCCTTCACCTATCGCCATGTTAAGCAATGACAACTCAGCCTCTCCTTTTTGTGGGGTCTTCCTCAGGCTCCTAGACTGGTCAGGCCTTGCAAAGTCTGTAGTGTAGGAATCTTCCAGGCCCATTCCTGGCACATACTCCTGTGAGCTCCCAGGAGCCCTTCCCTACAGGAGGACTCTGCACCCTTTCAGGTGGCGCCCTGCCCTGTGGCCAGGCCTGAAGGGACATCCACCTTGGACTCAGTTGAATTCTTTGGAGTCCATCCTCATGCACCTGAGAGCAAGTTGCCTCTCTGTTCGGGCCCATTACCCCGATTGCCCTGGTCTGTTGGTGATTCCTGGGTTTCATCACACCCTAGCTCCCTTCTGTAAAGCTTGTCAGCTGGTCCTTGTCCACTTAAACATACAGTCAGGGGTGGGGGAGAGGTGGAGGCTCCCACCAGGGCCCAACCTCTGCAGTCTCAGTGGGATTGGCACACAGTGCCTTCTTCAACATAGCCATGAGTCCCAAGTGAGCAGCCTTGTGGCCCTGTAAGGAGTCAGCTGGGCAGACCTGCAGTTCTATGTGAAGGAATTTGGCTTGGCTGTCTGCCTGTTCCTCACTGTCACCACCAAACACAAACCACCCAGTGCCTATTTTCCTAAAGGTGGAAGATTCTTCTCTTTGTGTGTGTGTGTGTGTGTGTGTGTGTGTGTGAGAGAGAGAGAGAGAGAGAGAGAGAGAGAGAGAGAGAGAGAGAGAACACGTGGAGGCCAGAGAGTGACATCTGGTCTACTACTCCCCGTGTGGGGATTCTTTGACATGTAGAAGAGGACGGGACTTGAGTCCATGGACTTTAAGTCCAAGTTAGTTCAGAGTTCTTTGTGTGATGCCCAGTTGGGATCACGTCAATGAATCTTGCTCCATCTTTTTGTTATTTGTATTTTTTAAGTTTTTTAAGTTATTTATTTTTATTTTATGTGTATGTGTGTTTTGCCTCCATATATATAAGTACACTGCATGTATGCAGTACCCACCCACAGAGGGAGGACAGAAGAGGGACTGGAATTATGGACGGTTGTTAGCCACCATGTGGGTGCTGGGAACCAAACCTGGGTCCTCTACAAGAGCAGCCAGTGCTCTTAACTGCCAAGCCATCTCTCCAGACTCCTGTTCTTTGTATTTTGTTTTAGTGTATGTGTGTGTGCGTGTGTGCGTGCGTGCGTGTGTGTGTGTGTGTGTGTGTGTGTGTGTGTATACCATGGCATGCATGTGGAGGTCAGAGGACAAGTTTGTAGAGTTGATTCTCTTTCCTCCTTTATGTGGGATCTGGAGATCGAACTTGGTCATCAGGCTCTGATTGTTGGGCAGCAAGCACCTTTATCTACTGACCCATCATCTCACTGACCCCTGTGTCATCTTTTTAAGCATAAAGAAACAGGATAGGGAGATGATCAGCAAACTGGAAACAAAATCATGTCTGGACTTAGGGTCTATCTCCCTTTCTTCCTCTCAGGACCCCAAAATACCTACCTGTTGCTCTGGTTCCCAAAGAGAGTATTTGACCCACCTCAGACCACAGAACTGGCTCCTGTCCTGGGCTGGGATCTCTGGGGCTGGCCAACAAGCCCCGATGACTGGAAGTTAAGTCCTACAAAGATCAGGTCCAGCTTTCTCAGAGAGATGTTTGTTGCTGGTGATATTCACTGTGGCTCAAGACCTCTAGGCTTTATATCCACTCTCGCTGGAGCTGAGATCACAGGTAGCCAATCCAGAGGATGCAGGCCCACCCACCTGCTCCACCTGTGCCCGCCTGCCCCAGGCTTCTCTGGCTGCAGCAAAGGTAGGAGACTTAAGTCAACCACCCCAAGGGGGTGGATGCTTAGTTTCAGTCACCAACTTCCTTATTGCACCTGAATCCCAGTATGAAACCTGTGCTCAGAAAACAACCTCTTGTCTGGCCACTGTGTGGAACTGAAAGCAAAGCCTTATGGGAAACATAATGGGGGAAGGGCTATCCCCTCCACACCCTCTCTGGGTTCTGTCTGAAGATCCTTGGAGACAGAAGGAGCTAGGGAGAAAAAGGCCATTGGTGGGACACACAGTCTCTGACCAGGACACAAACCTGACTTTAGAAGCGTTGTTTCCAAATCCTGCTACCCATGAGTAGGGTCATCATGGATTTTGGGGGTTTTTTTTTGTTTTGCTTTGTTTTGAGATAGCCTCTCACTATGTAGCCCTGGATGGCCTGGAACTCACTATGTAGACCAAGCAGGCTTCCATCTCAGAAATCAGCCTGTTGGGAGCCAGATGCATGATATATGCCTGTAATCCCAGCAGTCAGGAGGTAGACGCAGGAGGATTAGAAGTTCAAAAACAGTCTTGACTACATAGGGAGTTTGAGGCCAGCCTGGGCTACATGAGACCCTGTCTTAAACAAAGGAAAAGAAGCAGTCACCCCAGCATTCAGGAGACAGAGGCTGGAGGATCACAACTCAAGGCCAGCCTGGGCTACAAAGTGAGACTGCATCCAAAAACACCTACTCTGCAGGTGACATGCCCTGTGCCCAGTGCTCCTATGGAGCATCTCATCTTCTTTTCTCATTTTTTGTTCCCATCTTACTGCTGGGTAAACTGAGGTTCTGAGGAACAGTGGAGCATAATGGGTAATGGGATGCTTCTTGAAGGCATCCTTGAACCACTAGGAGGCACTGAAGGAAGTGCAGGTTGGCAACAGCAAGATGGATTTGTCTGTGGCACTTATTACTTCATGATCACAAGATGGTTGCCACAGATCCTGCTCAGCCACCATCCTTTGCAAAGACGTGGGTAAGTGGTGAAGAGTTATTCACAGTAGCCAAAAGTAGAGGCATCAGAAATGTCAATTGACAGATTAACATCTTACATGCACATGATGGAATATTATTCAGTCAGGAAAAAAAGAAAGCAAGCTTGTCATACGTAACAACATGGATAAAGTTTGAGGGGTAAAGGAAATAAACCAGTCACAGAAGACAAATAACTTCACTTATACTAAGCATCCAAAATAGACTCACAGAAGTAGAATGCAGAAAGTGACTTGTAAGGCCTAACAGAAAGAGGGGAGCTGCTATTCAATGAGTATAATAAGGCTGATTCTGCAACGCAGACTTGCTGGGTAACATGTTTATCATTCACAACACTGTGGTGTTCACTTAACATCTGTTAAGGACAGGACAGCAAGCTAGCTGCGGGGGCGGGAGGGTGTCTTGCAGTACAATCCGACAACCTGGGAACACATGAAAAGTTGAAAAGAATCAGTTCCACAGAGTTGTCTTCTGACTTCCACGCACATGTCATGGAACATGTATGCCCACACACGTATCATACCATGCTGTTCTAGTTTGCTTTCCATTGCTGTGATAAAACACTTGACTGAAACAAGTTGAGGCAGGAAAAGGTTTATTCATCTTTCAAGTTATAGTCAGTGTTTGATGGAAGCAGTTAAGAGCACTGGCTGCTCTTGAAGAGGACCTGGGTCCAGTTCCCAGCACCCACATGCCAGCTAACAACTGTCCATAACCCTAGTTCCAGGGGATCTTACACTCTCTTCTGGCCTCCATGGGCATTGCATACATTGGTGCGCTTACATGCATGCAGGGCAACACACATGTACATTTAAAAAAGTGAATAAAAACAAATATTCATTCTGGCAAGGGTTCCTTCCCCACCTCCAGGCCTGGAACAATGGGGAGCACATTTCTCCGAATCCTTT